TAATATTTAGTAGTACTTAGTTGGATAAGTATTATTATAATTAGAGATAAATATTTTATATAGATTAATTAATAATTTACATGCATATACGGTAATGTAATAATGTATAATAATAGAGTAATAAATCCAATTAAATTGTAAATAAACTAAACAAGGCTAAACTTATCTAACACAACATACCCTATCATGTAAATTATAATAAATTATAAAACATGCAAGATTATCAAAATATCCATACAATTTAAGGCATTACATTATATAGCTATCATTATTAAAGGCTCAGTCCGGATCACAATAGTAGTGACAAAACTTTGAACACTTTAACATTAGTTCGTATTGAGATTAATGTTAAAATCTTAGTTTTGTCACAACAAGTATAGCCCTGATTGGCACTTTGATAATCATTGGTCAATAATGTCTATAATAATTGTTGTGGGTTATTTAATAATAACATGAATTTGTGTTCAAAAGGCGGTCGTATAAGCCATTGGGTGAGGAATATGTCGATTTGGAGACATTACGCCAACTATTTTCCCGTCAAATTAGTCAAAACCGAGGACTTGGATCCCGAGAGGAACTACATGTTTGTGTGTCACCCGCACGGCGTAATGTTGTGCTCACATATGGCTAACTTTGGCACTGAGGGCACCGGTTTCTCACGATATTTCCCCGGTCTTACCCCTCATTTACTAACACTGGAGAGTGTATTAAGTCAGCCATTTAAAAGGGAACTGTTACTTTCTATGGGTATGTATGTTATAAAAAACCATTGTTGATTATTCAGTAGCTACCTCAATTTATGGCTTTTAATTAGCTACTAGTAATTGAAACAACTATTGTTTAGTACTATGTAGATTGTACATTGTACATTTATTCAAAAATAAACATGATTTTTTATGATTTCATAGCATTATAATTAATATTAATATAGATATAATTTATTTTGAAAATACTTATTAAATATATTTATTATTTAGGCTTTGGTGCTGCTACAAGGACCTCGATGAAGTGGTTTTTAACGTATAATATGAATAAAATAAATACACCAATCTTATTAAACTAGGCAATTATTTTTATATTATTAATATAGACACCCGGTTAAAGGACAGGTATTGGCTCTGATAGTAGGCGGCGCTCTCGAGTCATTTGACACAATTCCCAATACAATGAGATTAACGTTAAATAATAGGTTCGGGTTCGTTAAACTGGCACTCGAGCACGGGTATGTTATTATAATGATATCCTTTTTACTAATTTATGCAATATAATAATCTAAATAGAAAAGTTTTAAAGATTTATACTATGCAATGGAATTATTAAATTATCATTATTAAAATAAATAATTTATTTATAATTTTTAAATATGGACTATAAATTGTTGAAGTATTCCTAGAAACATACATTTCAAACTGTAATTTTGCATTAACACACATTAACAAATAAAGTTTGACAAAATTACAATTTGAAATGTGTATTTCAATTTAAATATGTGTATGTGTATTCTGCACGGGCGCATCCATATAATAAAGTTTCTTAAGCTAAAATAATATAATTTTCGTTTTGCGGCACCTTGACATCAGATTTATATATAAAAAATTAGCCATATTAAATTTGAGAATTTATCAAAAATAATTAATAAAATTGGTTTGTTTAAAAAGTTGCATTTTGAACCTAACCTAACCTTACCTAAGCCAACATAGGTTAACATATTTATAATTCATATTTATATTTACTTATTTATAAAATATTTTAAAATTTTATTTCTAGTACACCATTGGTCCCGGTTATATCGTTTGGCGAAAATGAGACATTCACACTATTGTAATTATGTTAATTGATCACAAAAATTATTAGATCCTTGTTCAAACTACTTTACACTTTTACACTAGAAATTAACATTATGCTACACAAATAATGTTAAAATATTAATGATATTCATCCATTAAATGTTTAAGTCTTATGGATAATGGGCTAATGTTTTGCAAATACTTTACTTGCATACTTATTTATTTTCACTTTAAGTTTTAAATAAGTTGTAATTGGGTTTAAGGAGGGGGGGGGGGTTGGCAATTATTTCAAAACTTACTGTTAATTCCTATCACTAGTGATTGGTATAAATCCAAAGACTCTTTAATTCGGAAGTTTCAACTATGGATGATCAGGGTCGGTGGAAACTCAATGCCATTGTTTTACGGTTTAATTTTACAAATTTGTGATATTTTTTAAAATACTAAACATTTATTTTACGTATCGATAGGCCGAGGGTTGTTTGGATTCCCGGGGATATTGCCGTATAGAGTGCCCATCACTACAGTCGGTATGAATTGGGGGTTAAAATTGGTTTTAAAACTTTAATTAATGTATGATTTATATTAATTATATTGCAATGCCTTTGAACAGTTGGTAAACCCATGGATGTGCCGCTAATACCGGAGCCATCGCGCGAACAAATCGCTGAATATCACCGAAAATATATCCAATGTTTGCGTGAATTGTTTGATGAAAATAATACTAAATACGGACAAAAAGATTTAAAACTTGAAATTATATAAATTTATATTTAAACTCATATTTATAAATAAATATGTAGGTTAATTTATTTCGATGAACAAAACTATTTCAATATTTATATTTTATAATGTCATACGGGTATTATTAACGATTATTATTACTAATTACTAATTTATTAAGTTTTATAATAATTTTCTAATAATAAAACACAATAAACAAACTTATTATTTAAACATAATAAGTAACACAAAAAAGATAATTTACAAATAAACTTTTGATTACATAATTTTTTTAAAAACTTATTTACTTTTAAACTGTAAATACAAAATAATCTGATATTTAATATTATGTTTTAATCTACAACCTTAATTACTTGGATGCAATCAATTGGCTTTAATAATTTTTTTAGAAAATAAGAGAGGCAACTATCCATATAATTTAATTCTATTTCCAATTTTGTACCCTGGGCAATGTAACTTAGACATCTAGTTTGTGTGCTAGAGATTATACCAACCCTAGTCCCAGCCCCTTATAGCTACATACCCGAGTCTCCAAGTAAATAACGACCATGAAAATTCAAAAAATGTATATTTTTTGTTAATTGTATGTAGGGTAGTTTCCAAGAAATACTTTGTACAATGACTTTCTTTCAGACCCATTATTGTATTAATAATTTATATAATTTTTAAAAATATATTAAATTTTTAAATATATTATATTAAAGATTGCATTATATTGATAAATATACTAAAAAATTAGGGTTATATTTTTATATACATATATGCAATTTTTAAAAAATAGTAGCAATTAATTTCCTAGTAAAGGACATTAATCTAGTTCAATTTGTGCTTCCTAGTATAAAACTAGTACAATATATTTGAGATCAAATTTTTTAAATATAACATAAAATAAACATAAAATTATTTAAACTTATTGATAAAAATGGACAACAAGTTTGGTGTCAAATATGGACTACAATTGTTATCAATTGAAAAACATTTGCAAACATTGGCCGCACTTTTCGTGAGCACAGAATGGCTTATAATTCAAAACTTGGGAAAAAGTACCTTGGTAGCCATGTTATTCACACCATTATCATTTATACCGGTGCTTTATTATGGATGGTCATATTATGATCGTAATATTTATAATTACGGTAAATTTAACAGCGTTTATAATGCTACTTGATGATATTTTTTAACATTATTTTTTATATACGCTCAATAATCAATTGTTTATCAATAATATTTAAATTATTTTTAAAATTATTTTATGAAATAAATTATTATATAGTTTTATATTTAACCATTATAAAACAATTAATAAACATAAAATTATATTTTTAAAACTAGAATATCATATTTATAAAATTCATTATAAGTTATAACATACACTACAATACATAAGTAAAAACACACTTTACAAATTATCAAGATATGTTTTAAATAACACACCCCATTATATACTAGAATAACCTTGCTGCTATTTAAGTATAATTTGCGTTCAAAAGGCGGTCGTATAAGCCATTGGGTGAGGAATATGTCGTTTTGGAAACACTGCGCCAACTATTTTCCCGTCAAATTAGTCAAAACCGAGGACTTGGATCCCGAGAGGAACTACATGTTTGTGTGTCACCCGCACGGCGTAATGTTGTGCTCACATATGGCTAACTTTGGCACTGAGGGCACCGGCTTTTCTCGACTATTCCCCGGCCTTACCCCTCATATACTAACACTAGAGAGTCTATTACGGGAGCCATTCAGGAGGGAACTGTTACTTGCTATGGGTATGGGATTAAAACCATTGTTGATTATACAGTAAATAGTTACACAATTAAGTGAGAAAATATATTTAAAATTATTAATTATCTAATTCATTAAGTTAGTAATTATTGTAAAAATAATGTATGTAAGAATATTTATTTTATATTTATATTTATAATACAGGCTTTGGTGCTGCTACAAGGACCTCGATGAAGTGGTATTTAACGTACGATATGAATAAAATTAACACACTAATTTTGATAATCTAGGCAATTATTTTTATATTATTAATATAGACATCCGGGTAAAGGACAGGTATTGGCACTGATTGTAGGCGGCGTTCTCGAGTCATTTGACACGATTCCCAATACAATGAGATTAACGTTAAATAATAGGTTCGGGTTCGTTAAACTGGCACTCGAGCACGGGTAGGTATTTACTAGTTAATTAAGCGTATGATAAATAATACTTGTTTATATTATTCCTGAAATGAAAATACCTGTTATGAGAATATGAAGCCAGGTTATGAATTTATTAGAATTCCAGTTGAAAATGTATCAAGAGCAAAAATAGTATAATTGACATGTTAGCCTACATTGAAATTTTAATGAAAAATAAGCTAAATACCTGTTATGAGAATATGAAGCCAGGTTATGAATTTATTAGAATTCCAGTTGAAAATGTATCAAGAGCAAAAATAGTATAATTGACATGTTAGCCTACATTGAAATTTTAATGAAAAATAAGCGTTATAATTTATAACTTACAAAACTAAAAATAAATAAATTATAAGACTTTGTTAATTAAACAATTTACATTATGAGCCTAACCTAACTTAACATGAATAACACATATTTACAAATATTTCAAAACTTTATTTCAAGTACACCATTGGTTCCCGTTATATCGTTTGGCGAAAATGAAACATACACTATATTGTAATTATGATAATCAGTGAAGATTTTAACATGAATAACACATATTTACAAATATTTCAAAACTTTATTTCAAGTACACCATTGGTTCCCGTTATATCGTTTGGCGAAAATGAAACATACACTATATTGTAATTATGATAATCAGTGAAGATTTTTTAAGTAATCATTGCCCAAACTAATTTACACTTAATTTATTACTAATTAGTGAATTACTAAATAACTAAATACGTTACGTCAATTAACTTAAAATTTTAACTATCGCTTCAAACGCAATTATTCAATCAATTATCACTAAATGACCAACATAATTTAATATGGATTATCCAATAAGTTAACAGCGTGCCCACCCCATATATCTTTAGATACATTTCAAATGTGATACAAGTTCAAAATACATATTCCTTTAATTCATTTCATTTCCCAATTACATCGTATTATGATCGGGAATAAAAGATTATAAATCCCTTTAAGTAAATATAAATAGCTAATACACTGGTTTACGTAAATGGGTTTTGGCAATTATTTTAAAACTTATTGTTAATTATTATTATTAGAGATGTGTATAAATCCGAAGACTCTATAATCAGAAAATTCCAGATGTGGATGATCCGGGTCTTTGGAAACTCGGTGCCATTGTTTTACGGTTTAATTTTAAAAATTTATAATATTTTTAAATATACTAAACATTTATTTCACGTATCGATAGGCAGGTGGGTGTTTAGATTGCCGACATTATTGCCGTATAGAGTGCCCATCACTACAGTCGGTATGAATTGGGGGTTGAAATTGGTTTTAAAATTTTAATTGATGTGTGGTTTATATTAATTATATTGCAATGTGTTGTGAACAGTAGGTAAACCCATGGATGTGCCGCTAATACCGGAGCCATCGCGCGAACAGATCGCAGAATATCACCGAAAATATATCCAATGTTTGCGCGAATTGTTTGATGAAAATAATGATAAATACGGGCAAAAGGATTTGAAACTTGAAATTAAATAATTTTAAATTTAAACTCATATTTATATATTAATTTGTGAGTTAATTTATTTTGATTAACAGAACTACTAAAATATTTCAATTGTATAATGTCATACGGGTATTAATAACGATTATTACATTGGGTAATAATTTCTTAAGCTTATACAGAATAAACAATCTTATTATTTAAACATAATAAGTTATACAAAAAGATAATTTACAAAAAAGTATTTGATTAAATAAAATCTTATTTTAAACTGTAAATACAAAAATTATTTCAAATTTAATATTATGTTTTAATCTGCAACCTTAATTAATTGGATGGAACTTTATTAATTCTATTTCAAATGTTGTACCCTTGGTAATATTAATTTTTATTAAGTAAAATAATTATTTTATAATTATTACACAGCATAATCAATATTATAGTTTAAACATAATAATTTATACAAAAAGATAATTTTAAATAAATAAATAATTTAATTAAATAAAATCTATTTTAAAAACTTTTTATTTTAAACTGTAATTAAAATTGAATTTTATTTTTAATATTATATTTAAATTTACCTGGCGCAACAACGTCCCAGGCAATAATTAAATTATTAATACAATAATTTATATTTATTGACCTTCATTCAAAATTTTTAAACTTATACAGGGTGGTTGCTAATGAACGATACAATTTGTTAATTGTAATAAATTAACAATGATTAGTTTATTGTTTAAAAACATACTATTTACTTCCATTGCCTTTAATGAAGTTAAAAAAAATTATTTTCAAATTAAATGTGAAAATATTGTAATTTAATTAATATAAGATAATAATTTAAATAAGAACTGTAAATATGAAACTTTTTTAATTTTTAATTAATTTTTCAAAATTAAAAATAAGCTAATTGGTACCTTTGATAATATTATAATTTAATTATTAATAGTATATTTTTAGTTGAGGGAGTAGTAGTTTTATTTTATCATATAATATAATAAATTAATCATGATCATACAACTTAATGTTTATTTTGCACATTTGTACTGTATTTATAATGTTAAAAATAATTTATACAAAACGATTAGAGCAATTTAATAAAAATATTAGTATATTTAAAACTGTAAAGAAAGACATATTTTGCAATTAATATAATTTTACAATATTGAAAATTAATTAATTGGTTCGACAGTTTATCCATTAGTTTTTAAAACCAAGATTTATAATTTTAATTAATTAAAATTTCGTTAAAAGGGAGAGGGAGGGAGAGAGAGAGAGAGAGAGAGAGAGAGAAATGTGGAAATATATCCGAGAATATAATATAATATATTCCATCACATAATGACCTCCATATACCATACTGTAGTACCCTAAAGTATATACAATACTTAA